ATCTGACTGCGCAGGCTTTAAAATCAAAAAAGTCGCTTTTATCAGTTCAATAATTTTGTATGGCTTGCTACGATTTATAATATTAAGCAATCTTAACAACCCTTATGGGGAACAATATTCCGCTTTTAAAAGCACTCTTTCGATGCAGCTATGTACTGCATCAATTTCTTGGACACAAGAATGCCCGGGCGTTCAAAACTGAAAAGTATTTTTTTCAATATTATGTTCTTCTTGTGTGGAACACAAATATCGCTCCATAGAATTAGATTTGTAATACTTATTTGGGTTGTCTGACACAACAGCTTTCAATATTTTAAAAACAGCACTGGCTATATCACTTCCACTTCGTCCTGACAAAGATTCTGGCCAAACAGCACAGTATACTTGCTTCGTACTCGATAAATGAGTCGTCATGTTGTAAATAGAAAATTTACTTTTGTAATAGAATGAACTTACTTCTGCTTTTGGACAGTTCAGAACATTTTGCAGATCAAAACAATGCACAGGAATATTATTTTTTCTATCGATATTTCTTTCCCGTCTAGTTACGTCATAAATACCGGCTGTCTGGAAAACGACGGATTAACTCTTCAGTACGTTATATACGGGGGTTTCGGGAGTCCCAAAAAAATAATAAAAAAATTCTTTATAATGCAGATAACGAAAAAAACGTGATTTTATAAAAGTAAAATTGGCAACACTGTACACACCTAATGCGTGAATACCTCCGGCTTACTTTCTGGTTTCCTAGTAACGATGCTGACCGAAATCCACCTTGGCTTTATATCAGGCAAACATTGTTGCCAAATGGAAATTTATCAAATTATTACAAAAACAACACAGCCATATCTTTGTGCATTCTAACTGAAATGGTAATTAAACATGGCCATGGGCGAGAAAAATATTAACTAAAAGTTTTACTACTAGTTATTCCGATAATGAATGAGTGGTTTAGTTGTTAAACGTAGCAAAAGAAGCAATTTTAAAATCATTATAACTCACCCAAAATGTGAGAAGGATTTTTGTACTATTTTTCCCAGACTCACCAGTTGATTGTTAAGAGCGTAGCGGAGAGTTAATCCGCCATTTTCCAGACACCCGGTATATACTGCATAATCAAAAAAAAGGGCCAAGAACGTACTGTATTTCTCCGATTTCTATTAATTCATTCGGTTCGTCATAATTACCATCTTTAATTAGCCAATAACACGTGACGTCACGCTGTGGCGGGAACTCAGCGTTTGACAAGCGCCGTGAAACTCCATAAGCGACAATGTTAACATTTTCGCATTTTATTTAAAAGTGTGGGTATTTATCTAGAAAATTAACACGTGAATAGCTTCTTTCATATCTTTCCTGTGTATCAGGGTGCTTTTTATTGGCGGTTTGAGTTTAAAAATACATTATAAAAATAAAAATACAGAACGCTGTTTTGGTCTGAATTCCTCGTCACCCAAAATACATCCGTGTGTTTTAAGCGGTAAATCGGAAATTAATATTTTCGTTTGAGGTTAATGTGCCGGGTGTAGATGAAGGTATGTGATTTGTTTTTAAAGTATGGATAATTTAAGTGATTATGCACGATGTCTTTCCGTCAAAGAGAAAAACAGATATGTACAAAAGTTAAACAATTTAAACGGCGTAGATCCTTATAAAATGAGTGCAAGTGATTTTAATTTGTGTTTAGACGATGTCCCTACCATAACAATGAATACCATTCTAAACTTTTTTATTTTTGGAATAAGTAAAATAACCCACAATGAAATTCGTGCATTCAAAAGTCTAGAGGCATTTATTCAGTTTTCTCTTTTTTAAACGACTGTGTCTTTCAACATTACAAATATTATGAGTAGATTTATTTTGATATCCTAAATTTTGTGATGGAACATAATCAGGGTGATCCACATCCGACAAATCTGTAGGTTTACCTAAAAGAGCACAAATGTAGTAATTTATTAGAAACTGTAAATCTAATAGATAGTTACTGTACTCGTTTGAAGGCTTTTAACCAAAACTTCCGCCTTTTTTCCCCATCCTGTATATATTTACCTTTATTGTTGCTAATTGCTGGGAAAAGAAAATAAAATTTGTCCGCATTTCTGGTGCTTCGATTCGCGCAACCCACAACAGCACAAAATTTAGGCATTTTCTCCTAAAATACAAAATATTATAATATTAAGATGCTAGTGTATTTAAAAAACATTGATGTACATTAACACAGAATTAATTTGCAAAACGAATAATATAAGATGCAGCGAAGTTAACCTGTACATCACATTGGAAAACATTATTTTTTAAGGATATTCAAACGTTATGGTGCGTTTTACAGATATCTACACAGTCTAGAAACTGTAACAAACTTACCAAACTATAAAAACATAGTTGACACACTCTCAAATTTAAATGAATTCCGAAAATATTAGCATTTACTCTTATGAGAAAACCGGCTAGTTGTCAAACGCTGCCATCTTGATGACCTCGGATGACGTCAGTGTATTTGGCTAATAGAATCATCACTAAAGTCGAAACTAGAGTCACACCTTGCAACAGGTCTGCGAACTCCGAGTTTAAAATGGTCTTTTTTCGAAGAGATCCCAGAAGGCCACGGGAGCTTAAAGTTCCTAGCGCCGTCTACTGGATACTATGATGAAACTGTCCACAATAATGAATGAAATTTGCGTAAAAATGTCCTTGAATGCAAGTTGTCATAAATGTCAGCTTTATAGGTTAGGTTTTGTGACATCTTTTTGAAAGATGAGGGGAAATATACGTCAAATGTCATGTCAAACGTCAGTCGATAGCGCAAATAGTACAAGTAACTACCACATGGTGGCGGTCATCTTAAGCTCCCACCACGGCCAGCTCCATCAACTAAATACGGCCGTCCCATTTTTTCTAAAAGTTGTTCCTAAAAAGCATGCCATGACCGCCCTCTATTTGGCGTCATCTATCGGAGAACTGTCAAACACTGTCAAATTCAAATCCACGAATTGTCAATTTAAATATTTGATTAAACTCTTTCATTATTAAAGAAAATGGTTAAAAAGTGCTTTATTTGTGGTAGTACGGACATTCCGCTGTTTCAGTTTCCAGCGGAACATACTTTAAGAGCCAAATGGTTAGACGTCATTAATAAAGTTTGTGGTAAATTTGAATATTGAATATCAATGTAAAAATTCACATATTCTTCCTTAATTTAGACAAATATTAATGATTACTCTGTAATCTGTAAAAATCACTTTGAAGAAGGCTGTCTCAAATTTGTCAACAGGAGATACCGGCTGAATAAAGAAGCTGTACCCACTGTTGATGTAAAATTATTATTATATTATTTTACAAAATTCGAAATTATATTGCTTAAAGGTTGAAACATCTCCAGAACCTGAATTTCCTGTCCTGCCTTGCAGATTTGAAAAATATGTACAAGCTGATTTAATTTCTTTAAAAGAACTTCAAAATCTGCGGTACCACTGTAAAGTGTTAACTCAAAAATTGAAAAGAACCACACAAAAATACCATCAATGTTTGTCAAAAATTGAAGATTTGAAGCAACAGAAAAGCGAAAACTCTCCAAATGTAGAGCTTATCACTAAATTAGTAAGAAATGCAGGAGCTGGTGATGAAAAGGCGGCATTTCTGTTGGATTTATTAAAAAACCACTTTAAGCAGAAACCGAGATGGTCTGAGCAAACCTTAAGAATGTCAATTATATGGAGATTTTGCTCTCCGAAAGGTTACCGATTCTGTCACACGAATTTGTTTAAAGTTCCTTCGAAAAGTACTTTATCAAGGTTTCTTGGTGAATACAAAGGCCAAAATGTCTTAATAAAACAACGTTTGGAGGCTGAAGTCCAAAATTTTAGAGTACCGGTTGAAAGAGTGTGTTCTTTAATAGTTGACGATATGTCAGTTAAAGAAAGAATCCAGTATAGTAGAACTGATGATCATATTTATGGCTTGGATACTTGTGGTTCCCACGAAATAGGCCAACGTCCCCAAATCGCAAATAAGATGTTGTGTTACGTTGTCCATGGGTTGTCGACGAAATATACCATCCCAGCGGGATATTTTTTTCATAAATCTTTATCCACAAATGATTTTCATGCGCTTACTATTTCGGTTTTACAACTTTTGAGTGAAAGTGGATTTATTGTGTTGAGACTGGTGACGGATAACTTTTCGGCAAATACTGCACTTTTTAAAAAGTTGGGAAATGGATCTCTTCAGAATTATATTTCTCACCCTGTTCTGCCATCAATACCTTTGTTTTTGAGCTACGATTACTGTCATGCAGTGAAGAATGCGAGGAGTTTATTTTTAGACAGGGAAATGTCCTCTTCCGAAGGTGTTATTTCATCTACATATTTGAAAAAATTGTACGAGTTACAAAAAGATTTGCCTGTTAAACCTGTAAGGTACCTAACCAGGAAGCATTTGTACCCTTCGAATTTTGAGAAAATGAATGTGCTGCGAGCCATTCAAATATTTTCACCATCAGTAACGGCATCTTTGAAGTTTTTGAAGGAAGCAGGTGATCCGAGGTTTTGCAACGTCGACGCCACTATTAGTTATCTGGAAAACATGTATAAGTTTTTCCAAATCCACGTGTCTAGTAGAACGTATTATATCCGTTCACGAGACAGCACGGTTGCACCTTATGCAGATGTATCAGACCAAAGGTTAGAGTGGTTAAATGTAACACTTCCTAATTACATCGACGATGTGCAAAGCAGTTCTTCAAGAGACAGATTGTCTGGCTTATCAGAAGAAACAGCAGAGGCCTTAAAATTCACCGCCAAGAGTACATGCCTTTGTATAAAATTCTTGCTGAAACAAGTTGGATTTTACTACGTTTTAACAAGGGGATTCAGTTCAGATGCTGTTGAAGCTATGTTTTCCCATGTACGCCTGAGAGGAGGGTCTAATGATGCAACAGACGCAAGGGCGGCGGAGTACGCCCTACGTCAAATATTACGTTGTGGCATTGTTAAGGTTTCCATCTCGGCAAATATTTCTGAAACTATGAGTTTTGTGAGTACAGCCCCATCAAAGATAAGAGAGGTAGTAGAACAACATATAGAAGATATGGTATTACCTTTTCAGTTAAGAATGAAAATTCAAAATTTGAAGACAAACATGCCTGCTAACAATACAATATATTCTGCGTCAGTAGCGTTCCTAGCAGGTTACATAATTAAGAAACTGAATGATAAATTAAAGTGTGACGTGTGTGTATCACCATTAGTTTCCACAACACTTCCAGGGCCTTTGCTCCGTTTGATATTCTTGCAAGATCGTGGAGGTCTAACATATCCTAACGAAACTTTTGTTGGAATCATTAAGAGAATAGCTGACATTATGCAAGAAATTTCACCTTTTTTAAAATATAAAATGCCATTATATCAAGCATTTCAGTGCTTATATCCTCATTTGAAGGAAAATTCGTTATTTTGTTGCCCCTTGCACAAGGATAAATTGTCTAGTATGGTTATCAATCTAACTGTGAAGCCTGTTCTTGACAATATTTGTCTAGAAAAAACGGACATGGTTAAGAATTTACAATTACGCCAAAAGCCATTACATAGAAAAGTACTGAAATTATAAATAATGTAAATATACATTTGTGATCGTATTGTCCAAGATATTTTCACGAAATTATGTTCCTTAATAAGTCCCTTACTGTTGTTTTGGTAGGTACTTGTCGTTTTAGACTTTAGTAATTTGTAAGCATTTCAATAAAACTGTTTGGTTTTGTAATTTAGTGCCCTATAATATATTTGTGTACTATTCAAGGCGATTTTCAAGAGTAGTATTGATTAAAATTACTATTTACAAACCGTTTTTAGTTCAATTACGTTGGACATCGACGATTCACTGACATACATGACAATGAAAATCAACAAACCTGACCAAAAATGTCGTGTTTGATAACACTAGTAATCAATAGATGTCACTGTATAAGGGGCGATTTTGACAGATCTGCAGAAACAATTTGCCTAATGGAAATTTGAAAAATGGGACGGCCGTATGTAGTTAATGGAGCTGGCCGTGCTCCCACTAAAGTCACTAAATAGATTAAGTACCGCAATGCTCCTCCATTTTGGGGCAAAAAAGCGGTAAATTTAAATGTTATTTATCTGAAATCTGAATTTTTCAAGGAATGCAAAAATATTTAGCCAAGAGGGCTATATACTTTGGCATATAGTGAAAATAACAGACATCAACATATTATATTATGGGAGGTAAATGCTGAGAAGGTAATTATTTTTTAAACAAACAAAAATTGGAAATTTCCAAAGTTACCAGGTTTTGGAAGAACAAGAATATAAAAAGGGCTGGGAGATACGTAATGCAACTAACAATAAACTAATTATTATTTATTATTATACACGTGCTATACACCACAGAACTCAATTTATGTGACGTAGCAGAGAATGCGTCCTTGAAGCACTTCTACCAGTAAACTTTTAGTAATGTACAAAAGACACTAAAAAGCGCCACCATTTTGGGGCAAAATTGACATATCTCTCTCTAACTCATGGGCCTAATGGATTGCGGTACTTAATCTATCTAGTGACTTTAGCTCCCACTAGAGACCCTAAATAAGAGAGTCTGGCCAAAGCCGCCATTTTATATCACAATCAAGCGCGCCTTTTTTAAAATTTGGCGTCACGTGTGTAATAACCAAAAAAGTAGCAGAAATTCGGTAACAAAACATTAAATAAATTGAAGGAAAAAAATACTGAATTACCAAAAATTTATTTAATTATCAAAAACAAAGGTGGTCATCAACGAACGAAATATGTAAATACAATTATATACAGCGTGTTATTGAAAGGTACGTACAAAATAAAATCGACAATTGGTCTCGAAGTATGGGTGCTAAAAGTAAAAAAAGTTCAGGTAAAAGTGTTCTCCTTTTAGAGTTAAAAATTATTAAAATTTATGTCCAAATTTGTTGTACGCTTCTAATAAAAAGATCATCTTTCGTTTCTATAGCAACATTTAGTCTTGACAAAAGTTTTATTGTTACAGTTACTAGGATTACCTAAAATAAATTAATCTTACCTATTTTTCCTTCAGTAGCGTCTAAAAAGGTTAGATACGGGTTAATTTTCCCCTTATAATTTTGATAACACAAAATAAGTTTTTCAGACTTCTTAGACTTCGCGAAGAACTGTCAATTTATAAATAACTATAAACTACTAGATGGCTTAAAAATTCGTACATGTTATGAAGCAATATAAAAAAATCTTCTTAAGCGGAAATAAGACAAAAAAGTCAATCAACATAAATTTATTTTAGTTTACACCATGATGCATTGCCATACTTTTGCCACAGTATTTTGCTGTCACGGTGTAATTTACACGGTGGCAGTTGTTTCGTATACAATATAAAATCACAACAACGCAATAAATGTCACCGTAGTCACAGCTGACAGTTTTAAGCGTATCTGCAACCAGACATACCGTTTTCAATACGTTTTCAAACAGAATGTGATATAAGATGGCCGCACCAATGAAAACCAAGCGACGCTTTGGCGAGACTCTCTTATTTAGGGTCTCTAGCTCCCACAACCTACTACGATACCAGTTTTTAAGCGCCCGTTTTATGAAAATTTATGAATGGAGTTGAAACACCTTACTTATACCACCGTGCCTTGCAGTATAATTGATTTAATATTATGTGTTATCAGGTTATCACAAAAATAAAGTTGATTGTAATTTAAAACAGTTTTTAAGAACACGAAATAATTATTTCAAACGACGTCGTTCAGTCAAAACTGACAGATTAGAAATACGATCTTCATCTAGGCTACTAGATTCGTTAGAAATAAAAAAAATTGTTGGAGATTTCAAATGTGTCCTAAAGCTGAAAAAAATCGAACGCAAAACAAGGTTGTATGTTGAAATATAAAACTCTGTTGTTCTTATAGAGTTTGAAATACACCTTTGTATTCACATTAAATTTAGGTGTTTTCTAAATTTTTAATATTCATTATAATACCGTTTAAAGTTTTTTAAATGCAAATTAAACATTATGGCGGGAAAATTTGTAATTTCAAAAAAATGTCACATACACCCAAGGTTAGTTAATATCTATTATCTATCTATTAAATGACTTTGACATACACCCTTGTAATTTTCAGTCGACGATGTATATCTTATATCTATTTATTCCGAGTCATTGTATCACCTTCATTATGGGTTTTTAATTTTTAATGTTAAAAATTTCTCGAATTAGGGGGAAGTCGGTGAATTGTGCGCACCTAAGCCAGTTTGCTTGTAATTTGTGAATTATTAAAGATTAAGTTATGAAATTAAGTATGAGCATAGCCATATATGTTCTTTATAACATACCTAATATACAATAAATTATTATTAAACAATTAAAAGAGTTATTATTTAAAATGTAAAAGATTGCGTTGCGCATGATTATCAGACCTAGATTGGTAATAGTGCGCAAGCGTCTGTTAATGGAGCGCGTACATTTGATTACCATTCTTATAACTTAACAGAGAAATTATTTGTTTCTTAACTGTAAAAAATGTTTATTAACACTCAAAATAAAATTATAAAGTAATACATTATGAAAAATTTATATATAAAAAAGATATAATCAAAAACAAAATAATAAACAACAGAAAGGTCACTTATCACAAAAGTCACAAACATACCCCTCTGCAGTGTCCCATCCACTGCAAAGAGCATCTGCCCACTTTGTACAGATTTGGCACTACAACCAATGTTCTGTTTTTTTACTCCCGTCTCCACAAAATAGGCCAATTTTAAAACATATTTCCTCAACTCCTCTTCTTCATTTTGAGGAAAAACAGGACACCTTCCTAAACGAGGGTCTTTTATATCAAGCCCTTCATTTAAAACTCTTAATGCTTTGCGTATAGATGATTCTGGTATTCCACATTTTCAACCCACCCCTGTAATACTGTTTCTATTTCCTACAAATCGTATAGCATTTTTCATTCAATCAGCACACCACGTTTGTTTTACCAATATGCTTGGACATCTAAAATTGTTAAACAGTAACATTAAATTCTGAAAAAAGGCGTCGGCAAAATGCGCGCACTGCGCACTATTTGCCGATAAATTTCTTTTAATATGAAAAATTTATAAAAATTAACGAATAATTAACTCAATACTATCAATAACTAAAACGGGTACTTAGTATAAAAGACTAGTTTCCGACTGAGATAAAAATTATTAAAATAACTCGTAAAATACAGTAGGGGAGACCGGGGCAATGAGAACCCCCTAAGCCATTTTCCCTAATTAAAAATTAATTTCTTCACAGATTTTAATAAAACCACACAAACAAATTAATTATTTATTTCTTCACAATGAAACACCAAAACAATAAAAAAATAATGGATATTCTTAGAGAAAATTTCTTTTTCGTCGAGCATGCCCTCTATGCCCCACGTAAGGGGCATGCAGGACCGTAGTGTAAATTACTTCTCTACTGACAAAATTCACAAATAAACTATATTATTGCATATTTAGCACATTATCCAACCTTCACCTAACTGCAGAATAGTTACTTAGAAAATAGAGGAGGCTTTCAGCAAATCCATTTCACATAAATAAATTTTGAGAAGAATTACCTTAAAAACAAATTACTCCAGCTGACACAACAAAAGTACGCGTTTTATTACCAAATGTGCCATCTAACGACGGATACTGGAATTAAGGTAAAGCTTAACTGGTTTCTGAGGCGGAAAATTTAAATGTTTATGAAATACTTCCAAAGTCCTCTATGCCCCGAAGTCCTCTTTGCCCCGGTCTCCCCTATTTATAGCTTATCTTCAACTCTTCCACAATTACTTTAAAAACCCGGGAATCGATAATAGCACCATATTGAATGTGGATATTTCAGAAAATGACTAAAAACTGTTTTGGCCATTACAAGTGACGTGGGTTAAATTCCCACCGAGGAACAACATTTTTCTCCGCTTACCCACAGCACTATGTACTTATTTTACAATTTAAATTATTTGATTTGCTATTAGAGCCGTGCGCACCATTACTAGACGCGCACTATTTACCGACTTCCCCCTAATCCAATTTTTCCACGTGTCTTTTTAATTTGGCTTCTTCTCGTTCTGCATGCATACTCCGAAGAGTTTCTGAGACACTGGCCTGTCATTGATTGTTTGCTTTTTTATTTCTTGGTGTAGTCGTTGCTGCTGCACTCAAACGTTAAGACTAGTACACAATGCTGTTCAGTATCCTTAAAACTTACTGCCCATTCACAATGGACATAAGGCATAACAAGTACATAAAGCTTACATAAATACATAAAGTTGAAACGATGGAAAACGTGTACCCCTGTTCACAGTGGACGAACATAATTCTTATGCTTATGAACGTTTTATGTAATCCTTGTGTGCGTACACAAAGTTGAAACAAGTTCAACTTTGTGCACGAATTATGTCAAAATTATGTTAAAATCTAGGGACTTTTGAATGCTGCTATTGAATTCCCTTTGACAGTTGGCACTTGGCACTTCACACCTTTGATTATATTATATAAATTATAATCAAAGCTTCACACTGCGAGTTTGTTCTGTACTGCGAGTTGTCAAATTCGAATATCGTATGAAATTGTAGGTTAGATATTTTAATTGACTCAGTTTGAGGTTAGCCGTTTCTATCTTTAGCCGGGAGTTATTCCGTTCTGCGTTTGCGCAGTTTAACAAGTCTTACAGAGTTCACTCTGTCCACTGTGAACGTAGATAAGCATAAGCCAGACACAAACCAAAAACGTAAATTATGTTATGCGCTCGTTCTTATGTCTTATGTCCATTGTGAATGAGCAGTTATACTTAAGAACTTAAGCATAACGTTAAACTTTATTCAGTAT